CATGCATGATTCTATTGTATTCCATTAAGAAACTTCACTGCATCCAGCATGAGGAAACCAAACGTATCAAACTCAAATTGTATGAACACGTGTTGATTTCCATGCATGATTTTTTTTTTTTTTTTATGTTTTGTAATATTGCATGCAACAACTTTTAAAACAGTCTATCTCACCTTGAAAACCCCAACCTTCAAAGTTCAAACCCACGAGAAGGGATACTATTGTAAGATTCACAAAGACGTGTTTCCTTCTAACCCATCCAAAAACCACGATTGACAATGTTCAATAAATATATTCAATAAAAATCATCAAAGTTTGACAATGTTTTCTATGTCAATCACTATCAAATGCTATAATAGATTAATGTAATCACGATAGAACAAAGTTTAGTAAAATATTCTAATTCATATTGAATATTTTGACGAAATTTTCTATTCTATTAAAATTATTAGACTTCGACAACTTTTTTTTAAAAATAATTATGACCACTATAACTTGCTTTAATAGATAATAGTGGTTGCCATATAAATAAACTTATTTGGTTTTTACTGAACTTTTTAATTAATAAAGGTTAAAATAATAAAGTTATTATAAAGTGTGATATTTTATTCTTGTTTATAGAATATGAAATAATAATAATAACAGTCGCACCAAAATTTTATAATGTGTTGAAACCAAGATTATGTTGTTGGAAGTTGGGTTTACGGATCAATAGGATTAATTCTGCAAGCCGTAAGAAATAAGATGCTTTTCTGGGAGTGGGAGTAGGAAGGAACACATACACACCCACTCCGATGATCAACTTAAAAATAATTAGACAAATGACCACTCGACCGGAACCTGAAGATATGTTTTGAGAAAGAGACCGGAACCTGAAGATATGTTTTGAGAAAGAGAGGAAATGTGAGAACATAATCTAAGTGTTTCATATTTATGAGTTGAGTTCGAGGACATAGATAGATAGATAGATAGCTTGCATTGTGGTCTAGAATTCTTGTTGGTGGTACACCATTACAATGGAAGTTGATTAAAAAAAAGTCAAGGCAAATGCAAACAAGTTATATATATATATATTATATATATATATATATATATATATATATATATATATATATATATATATATATATATATATAAAATAATATGGTGGTCTTTGTAACAAATAGAAGATAAGTTAAGTTAAAAATCCCTAGCTAGTAGCTAATTAATTTGATTTGAGTGGGTATCTTATCTTTTGGTAGCAGCAGCAGCCGCTTGCTTCCTGTTCTTCTTCTTCTTCTTCTGTACAGTTGGTTGTCTACATTAATAATCTACAGACACATGACACATGACATGTTTGTGTTTGTTTGAGGCTTGAGGAGAAAAGAATGACGAAAATCAAATTAGGGAATCGAAATAAGAGTAATTGTGTCTGCGGCCAAACTCGAGGAGACTGCCATACGTGCGATCCCATACTCCTATGAAAAGGGAGTCGGTATCGGGACTGAATGAAGTGCCGGATATCTCACCAAAAAAATCAATTTCCTGTTCCTTGTCATAACAGCCGCCTCTGACATCAAACACATGAACAAAGTCAGCAGGTTCTGCCATTGCCATGAAGCGACCATCCGAGGAGTAACGGATGGATCTAATGGCTCCAAGATTGGCTTTTAAAGCGGTTACGGATTTTGATACGTTTCTGATATCCCAAACTCTGCAGGTTTTGTCCTGATTCCCTGTTGCAAACCCATACCCATCCGGATTCCATGCCGATGCAAATGAGAAATCCAGGTGTCCGTGCAAGGATGCAACCGTCTGCATGCATATTTTCATGAGTTTTTTTTTTTTTTTTTTACCATATTACAAAATTTATAATTAATTATTTGACTCTATTACTTACCTTTCCGGAGCTCGAGTCCACCAACATTCCTTCAGGACTGTCTCCAACAATTATAAGAAGCTTTCCATCCGGGCTAATGGAAGTATGCTGCATATCATCATAAGTTCATAACAAAAATTATCATGGAAACAACAATATCAAAGCCAGCAAAGACAGGTAGATACAGTACATTGACCGGCCAAGGAAAACGCAAGTGCTTAGTCATCTGAAAATTTTCCATATCGAATTCGCGAACTCCACAATCATTGTTTGAGGCTGTAAAATGAACTGCACCACTGCATCATCATGGAACAATTAAGCTTGGTTCAGCATAATACATAATACATAATACATAATACACAATACATAATACATAATACATAATACCTATACCTTGGGGTAGTATAAATGTCTAGAGCATTAGTAATAGCATTATCATCGTAAGTTGTCCTCAAGCAGAAGCAAACTCCAGGTCTATCTAAATACTGCACTCATTAACAAGGAAATCTCATGTTTAAAATTATATAAACAAACCATGTAATTATATTATATAAACCTAGATCTTGCCTTGCATATAAGTTCTCCTTGGAATCCTCCAGCAACAAGCAAATTATCTTTTACTGCCATTGTGCTAACTTGGGTCTGAGTGAATCCCTCCAGTAGACTTCCAGGGTGTTTCTGCAATATAATATATTTTTTCATTATTTCAAATGTAAAAAACAATCAAATCAAACCCCTCTGCACATCATGACTCACCTCACATGGTGCCACATGCCCTGATACATTAAGGACTTCAGACTTGTTGCAAGTTAAGGAGGACCAATGGATGACAGAAAAATGTGACATTAGGTACACATCATGCTTCGATGTAGCCCATACTAGGTTTCTCAACTAAACCACCAAAAAGAATGAATGTTATGAATAAAAATCACCAAATTAGGCTTATTTCATTCCGATTAATACCTGAAAGTGAAGTATTGTCGATTTTACGGATCTTGAATTCCGTCTAAAGTCGTAGTACAGGCCTGTTTTGTTGGTGACTTTGCATGCCTGAATTGTTGACAGCAATTACTTTCTCTCTCTCTCTCTCTCTCTCTCTCTCTCTCTCTCTCTCTCTCTTTTTTTTTTCTGTAATTAGTATTATTCAAATAAACTCAGAATCACATACCTTTTCTGAAGCCTCCCCAGACTGAGGAATATTTTCATAGTTCTTATACTGTTCAAGTCTAGTTTGCCTATATTTGTCCCTAGTGATGCTCAGCCTTTCCCAGGGAATACCTTGAATATCTTTACCTCTTCTTGCCTGAGCAGCGCATGTATCTGCCAACTTATTATTCTACACTCCACGCAAACAAACTTACTTATTTATTACCATCCATCAATATTCAATCCATATCCATGTAATACAAATATCATATATATACCATGTAATCATATTCGTCCACATCAGAGTCTGACCCAACATCTCTGCCATGAAACTCCTCCTCCATGTTATCATCAACATCTTCCATTTCATATTCATCACCCACGTACTCATCATCTTCTTGCTGATGTGACATGATCTCTGCTCACAAAGGAAACCAAAAACACATTACATATATATTACTTTCTCAAGTATAATTCCACCTCCACCTCATCATCAAGGCAAAATATATTAATTCCAGCAAGTATCACAAATTAGGAAGACTAACAAAGAACATTTATGCTTGATTCCTCAATTTATATCGCTGATTAAACATATGAAACCAATTACAAGATGACTTAAATATTTTAGTTTGCCAGTTGAAGCAAAATTTCCCAACACAAGATATAAGCTTCCAAATGAAATATCCAGTTGCATCTTTGAAACCTCCTTACAAGTTACACCATCAATAAGGAATCAGAGAGACACTTCCGAATAAAGGAGCCCACTTTTACTTTTGAAGATCCTACTATTTCCCAAAACTGATACCAACACACGTTTACCTTTAAGACTCTCTAATGGATTAATTTTTTCTTCAAATTATTATAGTGGCATGTAGTCAAACACTTTATTCCGCTTGGATCAGAACAAAACTTGCTAAATTTCAGCAAAAGCAAACCATTTGACGCTTTCAACGCAAATTATGGGCTTCTTTTCTGACAAAGAAAAAATCAATAGAAAGGGCTTATAAACATAGAGGAAAAAAAACCTAATTCATGTTATGCCAATATATACCTATCACGAACGTCAAGCATATGCGTTTGAAAACAGATACGAACAGTAAATTTTCACCGCCGAGGAATGACGAGGATAAAAAAAAAAAAAAAAAAAACCGTGACAGAAAAAGCAACATTACCCGATGATCAAGATAATCAACGAACCTTTTTTCCGATTTGGAGGAGCAAAACGACAACTGAAGTCTGTTTAATCGAACAATTCGGTATCAGGGTATGATTTATTAACACAAAATCATGAAACCACCGGCGGATATTGTCTGATAGGTTTGTGAAGAAAATCAAGAGAGAGAGAGAGAGGGAGAAGGGTATCTATCTGTATCTAGTGGTTGGGCAAAACGACATCTAATGAAGGGGAAATTGAAGAGCGTCGGAAAGGGACTTGTTTAGATCATCTGATCGTTTGATATCTGCTCACCAACCCCGCCCATTTTACCCCATACCAATAACCGCTAATTCACCCTCCTAAACTAAACGCCGTTTAATCTTATTCTTGGATGACTACATGTGTAAATCCGGAATTGTTGACTTGCTACTTTTAATTCTATAATAAATATTATAATTATATTATTATTACACATAATTAAAAACCTTTGGGCTTAAATTAAAATGATACATTTTTTTTGAAATAAAGATAATTCAGATCAATAAAAATATCATTTTAAATATTTAAAGATATCTATTTTCGAATATATATATATATATATATAATATATATATATATATATATATATATATATATATATATATATATATATATATATATATATTCAGGTTCATTTGAAATCATTCTAATTTTGTGATACCGTGAAATCAAATCTAAAAATAATTTTAAAATACAAAATAAATGGAAAAATTCAAAAATTCTTTTTTTAAATATTATTTTCGGAACTTGAATTAACTAAAAAAAAAAATTAAAATAAATTAAAAATAAAAAATAAAAAAAAATCCCGTTTTTTTTTTTTTGAAAAATACTTGAAATATTCTAAATAGAATATTACACTGACATATTCTAAAAAATAATTTTAAAATGCAAAATAAATGGAAAAATCTAAAAATTCTTTTTTTAAATATTATTTTCGGAACTTGAATTAACTAAAAAAAATCCTATTTTTTTGAAAAATACGTGAAATATTCTAAATAGAATATTACACTGTACATATTCTAAAAATAATTTTAAAATGCAAAATAAATGGAAAAATCAAAAAATTCTTTTTTTAAATATTATTTTCGGAACTTGAATTAACTAAAAAAAAATTTTAAAAATAAAAAAATAATAAAAAAATGCGTCTCACGGTCTCACAAAATTAGGCCGTCTCACATGAACCTAACCCTATATATATATATATATATATATATATATATATATATATATATATATATATATATATATATATATATATATATATATATATATATATATACACACACACACACTAGTTTATAACCCGTGGAAACCACGGTTAGAAAATTAATTAAACTTTCTGAGTAAAAACTCAAAACTATTAATTAATAATTTTAAATAACTTATTAATTAAGAGATATTATGTTAGTTATATATATATAATTATAATCATCTATTCAAATAAACACGTAAAATATATTATCTTATAATTTGTATAAAATTTATTTTATTATAATTTGTATAATTTTTATTTATTTTTATTCTACTGTTATTAATTTAATGTAATTAAATGAGATTTAAATTTTTAAATTTGAAAATTGAAATGGAGAATCAATAGATTGACAAGTGTCATGATATTAATTACAATGTCTAACATGGTGACACTTGGCAAAAGAACTACTCTTTTATTAGTATACGGATATATATATATATATATATATATATATATATATATATATATATATATATATATATATATATATATAGAGAGAGAGAGAGAGAGAGGGAGGGAGAGAGAGAAATGAGGGTTCAATTGAGAAAAAAAGGTTGAGAATGGGAGAATCATTCTCAGCCACTCATTTATTTTTACCGCAAAAGCCTCCATTATACCAGTGGAAATAAGAAAGAGTTAGACATGTGTTTTCCAACAAAACATGTTTCCTTAAACTATGCTAAGTATTACCTTAATATATACAAAAACATAGTTTTTTCGTTTTTTATTTTTTATTTTTAAGAAGTTATTTTTATCGAAAAATGATTTTAAATATACCAAAATTCATAATTTTTTATTCTCTACAAATAGACATTCATATTGATATAGTTTTAAGATAAAATAAAAAAATTAATTTTTTTATATTTTCAGTTATCATTATTCATAAGTGAATAAAAATAAATCAGGTTTTTATTACAGTACATTCGTTATTCACTTATGAATAAAAACTATAATTAATTTTTTTTACAATTTAAGTATCATTCATATATGAATATAATATATAATAAACATAGTATATTCATGTTTAAATATTAGACGATGCATCCACTTGTGAATATTACATAGTTTATTCATTTGTGAATACTAGATGATATATTCACTTATGAATATTAGATAATATTTTCATATCTGAATATTACGTAGTATTACATAGTATATCACATGTGAATATTACATAGTATATTCACTTGTGAATATTAGATGATATATTCACTTATGAATATTACACAGTATATTCACATATAAATATTACAATGTATTTTCACAAATATATATAATTTTTATATTTTATTCACATATGAATAATATGCAGACTTGCATATTTGTTTTTTTGTTTTAATAATCATATACTGATTCAGGTGAGAAAAAATATTCATATATGAATATAACGTGGTAATTTAGTTTATGCATTTCATCAAATAGTTGGAGTGCATACAATTTAACTTTTTTAAAAATGTTAAAAACATGATACTTTGACTATTTAAATCTTACAAAATAGTATATTGATATAGAATTATATGAAATTTTTCAAAAAAAAAAAAACAAATTGTTCTTTTTCTAACCTAATTTTGAAGCTTTATTTGATAATGTAAGGTCGAACCTTATAATATGATGATGTTTGAAACTGATCACTCAGCATCAGCACGTAATCCAGCGTCAGCATCAGCATCAGCGTCAGCATACAAGTTGTTCAGTATATATCTTTTTAATGTAACAGATTTAGTATTTATCTTGTTTCCATAGTTATCATATATTAGTTAGCTGGAACATCCCTGATTTGTAGGGATTGTCTATAATAGTTCTATATAGTCTTTTGTACGGGTTTGTGAAGAGGTTGTCTTTCACAAACCCTAATAGCCGCTTTGTGCGAACAATAATCTCTTTATGAGATTATCATTCTTAGTGAAAGTTCTTTGTGAAACTTCATTGTTCTTATTAATAGTCTTTGTTTGATAAATCGTTTGATCTTAGGTTCTTTCAATTGGTATCAGAGCAGGTTTCTTTTATCAAACAAATGGCTTCATCCTCTTCCTCTTCAAACTCATCAAATCATCATTCTGCTAAAATTCCTCTGTTTGATGAAACCAATTTTGCTATGTGGAAAATAAAGGCTCTCTATGCATTAGAATCTGTAGATGAAGACATGTTGGACATCATCGAAAAAGGTCCATATGTTCCGATGTATCAGCCCTTGAAAAACAATGTTCCTGATGGTGCCATGAAGAAAACACCTAGAGAAAACTGGACAGCAGATGACAAAAGAAAGAATGGTCTCGGTGTTCGTGCTCGGGCTGCAATCAGCTATGCTTTGCCATACAATATCTTTGGGCTGGTTCAGAATTGCATCTCAGCAAAAGAGATGATGGACACACTGACTGTATCCTTTGAAGGCACTGAAGAAGTCAAGGCTACTCAAATAAATGATCTAAACAGAAGGTATGAACATTTTTTTGCAAAGAAAGGTGAAACCTTGACTCAAACCTTTAACAGGTTTGATACTCTTGTTAATGATCTACGAAGACTAGATCAGTTGAAGCATCGAACTGTTCTAGTACAAAAGTTTTTGGATTCTCTGGGTGCAGGTTGGGAGAATCATGTTGATGTGCTGAAAAATAGTGAGAAGATCAACACTATGGACTTACAAAGTCTCTATGGAAACCTTCGATACTATGAGGAATCCAAGCTTCAGAGAAAGGAGCTGATGAAGGATTCTCAGCGTGAGTCATCAGTAGCATTATTCTCAAACAAAAAGCAAGTGTCAGAGTCAGACTCTGAAAACCATTCAGACACTGATTCTTCTAAAAGTGAGACTGATGATCTCGAAAAGGTTGTTGCTAGTGCGGCCTTGATTGTGAAGACTTTTGAGAAATCAGGCCGAAATTTCTCGAAGTTTCAGAAGAAGATGAGTGGGAAATCTTCAAAAAGATCATATGCTGACAAGAAACATGGTACTGAAAGGAAAGGGAAAGCTTAGTGCTTTAACTGTGGTAGCACTGATCATTTTGCAAAAGAATGCAAGCAAAGAACCCAAATCTCGGATGAATACTGGAAGCAGAAGTACAACAAGTTGGTTGAGAAACTGAAAACAGAGAACTTGGAACATAAAGTTCTTGTCGCTGAAGAAGAAAAATGGAAGATTGATGAGGAGTCATCAGATGATGAAGTTAAATGTCTGATGGTCAAGATAGAAGACACTGATGAATGTAAAGTCAGCAACAGTTCGTTTGATGCTGATATGTCTGATGCAGTTGAAAACTCCAGGAAGCACAACACTGATTCTCCTTCAATGTATCAGGTTCAAAACTTTGTTTCATATTCAATGAATGAAAAAATCAAAAGGTTTGAGTATTTGGGTGTTCTTAATTCTAAGAAGAATCAAATCATAAGAGATATGCAGAATCAAATTGATCTTCTTAAAACTGAACTATTCTTAAAAAATAACATTATTGACACTACTCAGTAAAAGCTAAGAGTTACTAGTTTATCAAATTCCTCATTATCTGCTGAAATTGATAAAGTTAAAGACCTCTTGAACAAAGAACAAATTGTTTTAAAGCTTTGGGCTAAATATCACAAAATGCTAATTATGTTATTTCTGCCCAAATACCTCATTCATGTGAGAAAATCCTTGGGGGAAATTTTGCTGAAGCTGAAAAGGTTTTTAAATCTCAAGAAAAGGAATCTGAATTTTATTCCATGAATGAATTAAAAGATAGTTTCAAAAACAAATTTATCAGCAACACCTTTATTAATCAGAGTCTCATTGATGAACACGGTGTTACTGATTCTAATGGTGTTACTAAGTGTAATATTGAAATTACCGGAATTGATCCTACTTCTTACCCTGCACATCTTGAGAGACCAACTCCTCTCACTGAAAATATTATCGCATTTCCTATCTCAAACGGAGTGTTTCATGCTGTTCATGAACAACTTAAACAATATCCTGATTGCAGTGTTTCAGTACATAAGTCTAAATCTGATACTGATGTCAGCTCCTCATCCATCACTGATTTTGGTTCTCCTGACACTGA